AGACTTGCCGATTACTTACTTATTGATTATGTAAGTCTTTTGGTAGGAAACGATCAATAATGACAAGTATTTTTTTACTTTTAGGTTAAGTTCCATTTATGTCCTGTCCCAGCTGCACTGAACACTCATTCGCTAGGTGGAAGATACAAGCACTTGACCTGATCATGTAGATTTTAGGCATTTTCTTGGATTTTAAAGTGAAATTTTCACAGAAGGGATGGAAAAAGACACTCAATGTCTGGAATGAAGGCAAATCCTTTTCAGTTTTACTTTAATATGTAAATTAAGATACGAAATTGTAGGAATATAGAAAATAGATGCTAAAACTTTTGGTTAAGAATTCTCTCAGCTTTCAAATGTTGTTCTGTGAAAAAATCTCTTCTATAATCTATGTCTTGGTTTAACCCAGCAGGCAGCTAAATCAACCACACAGACATACGCTCACTCCCCCCTCAGTGAGATGGGGGAGAGAATCAGAAAGAAAAAGATAAAACTTCTGGGTTGAGATAAAAACAATTTAATAGGACAGAAAAGGAAGAGAATAATAATAATAATGATGACAAAAGAATATACAAAACAAGTCATGCACAGCACAGTTGGTCACCACCCGAAGCCAATGCTCAGCTGGTTCCTGAGCTGCACTGCCTCCTGGCCAACCCCCCAGTTATACACGGAGCATGATGTCATAGGGTATGGAATATCCTTCTGGCCAGTTTGGGTCAGCTGTCCTGGCTGTGTCCCCTCCCAGCTTGTTGGGTGCCCCCTGCCTTCTTGTTGGCAGGGCGTATGAGAAGCTGAAAAGTCCTTGACTGCTTGGCAACAACTAAAACATCAGTGTGTTATCAACCTTATTCTCATCCTAAATCCAGACCACAGCACTATACCAGCTGCTAGGAAGAAAATTAACTCTATCCCTGCCAAAACCAGGACAGTCTAGTTTTAATTTTCTTTTTGAAGAAGTGAATATATTCCAGGTTCAGAAATCTCATGAGTCAATTTTTTTTCTATGCTTTTTATTCATTAAAACATGTTATTTACATACATCAAAAGGTAGAAAATTACAAAAAGTCTGACCACGTATAAAATTCTAGAAGCTTTATCATAATATTATTTTCCTTGAAGAAAAATTAATTTGACATGGTGTTTCTTGGATTTTACTTACCTGCAAGTTGTTCCATTTATTCATCTTCTTACAGTAAGATTTACCCAGTCTTGTATTTGAGCACCTGTTTATCTTTGAAGTGTTCTTGTGCTATGTTTCGTATCCCTGTAGTCTTCTAGGTTGCAGGGCAGGTCATGGTCTTGTTACACCAACTGGCCCTGCTGCAAGTCAGGCACACACAGGTGTGGTGTTGCTGCAGCAAACACTAGAGAAGTATCCAGAGAATTGAGAAAACAGCAGCAGCATAATGTTTTCTTTAGAGTTCAGCTGCTATGTATTCTCCACCTTACAGGACTGGAGATCTAAATGAAGCTCTTCGGAGCAGAACCTTTCTTTTCCATTTTATGCCTGCATGTGTGTACAAGTATGTGAGTGTGTACAAGTACGCGTGTGTGCACTCCCCTTGCCGAATGCATCTCCAGTATTCCGCAGGATTCCTGAGCCCTGTATCAGAGGTAGGTGGCTGCCAGCAAGGCTGTAGGGCGACCGGTGCAACGTAGAGAGGCTGCTGGAGTTGTTAATGGTGGGCAGGGAAGAAGTTCTCAAGTGCATTTCTCCAACTGAAGTGTAAAATGGTATTGATTTGGGCTTTTTATAGACTTGGAACCATCTTTTCTCTACACGGTTTCATTTTAGAATAATTCATTTGGTTCATATCACAGAGCTGTACTGCAGGAGTGATGTTCCGATAGTTGATACTTCATAAACTATTATGGAGTAAGAAGACATTTCTTAAGCTCATGTTCTATATTCAGTTTACCACGAAGCAAAAGACTTGTAAATTCAATTCCTGGTTTACTCATAAATTATAAGAAATCTAGAAGTAATTTATTTGCCTTCCCTTCTGATGCGGTTGCTTATTGGATTGGAAATGGAGTCCCAGAGTTGTTCTGATATTGGGCATTTCCATAACTCCAGTGGGATTAGTCTGTAATAATAATGTTGAAGCAATGCAATGAGTAAACATGTCATATATAGCATTATAAGAAAAGTAATCATGTGCGATTTAAGAAAGCAAAGATGAAAACCAGAGAGACTGGGGTATCAAACGGGCCTGGTTCAGGGGGCTTCCAGGGATAAAAATCTCTTATAAGCAAAGCCAGCTTAGGCAGTTCAATTTCTTCCTGCTATGATTATGTACAACAAAAGCTACAAAATCTTTCAGAAGGGCAAACCTAATGAAACTGTTGCATACTCCAAGATGACCTTATCTGTCAGTTAGCAATGAGCATTTCACACCACCACTCTCTTACAGTGTTGGTGCATCTTTCCCTCCTGCCCACCAAGGCAGAGTGTTTAGAAGTCCCTGTTCTGTTGGCAGAGGTATACAGAAACTTGTCAGAATAGATGATGAGAAGAAACAAGCCTGGACATTACTTTCCATGCCCGTAGTTGCAGGGAACTGGATAATCATTAGCTAGCTTAAAACACTGCATGGATCACCTGTTCCACATGTCACTTGAGGCAGCAGAGTATTTCCCAGCATTGGATTGCAAACTCAGAACCTATATAAAAGATCAAAACACATGGCAGTATTATGCTATGGCAAAAGATTAGGCATGTGCAGTGCATTGTTGATGTCCTGTGTACATGTTCTGGCAATGTATTCATTAAAAAAAAAAAAATCTTAGATGGTCCTGGGAACCAGATTGTACTATTAAGAAGTACAAAGGAAGGATTCAGTTTGGGAGGTGGGGGAGAGAGGGGAATTTTCCTTTTGACTTCAGATCTCATGATCAAATAAACCCTGAAGAAACAAGTGTAACACACCGACCAAGCACCTGCAGTTGCCTGATGGGTGCAAATGTGCAGTATTTTTGTTTGCAGTAAGTACCATGACTAACTCTTGTAATCATTATGAATACTTGCAGGTTTTTATAAAACTGAAAGCAGCATTTTGGTCCATAGCGTATCCTACAGCTATGCAACATGTCTTCATGTTCAGATGCAGGTAATCACATCTGTTCTTTTTGAACTGTCATAAAGGCCAGATGTGAGCAAACATTGTGGAAGCTCAATAGCTTCCAAATGATGCCAAATGATGTTCTGGTGTCAGCCAAGTTGGGGAATGCAGCAGGTAGCTCTGTTACTGTCTGCTTCTGACTCGACAGAGGCATGTTTTTAGTCCCACAGTCTCTTGTAATCTTCTCTTTTTAGAAATACACCTTATACTTTTTAAATACTCATTTCAACAACCCCAGTTGCTGACTGAATACACTGCAGAATTTTGTCTTAGTAGAAGCTTTAGAAACTTCTTGCCCTAGCACTTAAGTCATGATGTGTAATGATAAATGGTGAATAACTGAAGTGAGGTCATCACCACCTAGAATGGAAAGAAAAGCCTGTCAACCATCTAGAAATGAATAGGAACATTGCATAGGATAATGCTATGTGCAAAAGATTCAGCAGTTAACCCTATTAGAAGTACTACCAAGGCTTACAGGATACTCCACCAAGGCTGGAGGCTCTTCTGAATGCTTTCCTCTGCCCACCACTGTTATCCCTGTTTTGTTCAGGTTTGGCAATTCTTGTTCAGGGCAGCTGTTCTTCATCTTGAGGTCAAGATGTATTAGGTCATCTTCTCAGTCATACAGAAACATATCGACAGAGCCTTGTTGCTGTTTGTATAGTGCTTATTCTAGACCTTACTGGTGAACATATGAATGTATACAAGATGCTTGGGTTTTAGGTGGCTTTTCATCTTTAAATCTCATGCTGCTACAGCAAGATTGCTAGTGCAGTGCAGACATACTGTTCATTTACAGTGCATATATGATATCTGTATCTGACCAATTCACCTAAAAGCTGCATATTGCCGCTGAAAAGGACCAGGGAGATGAATGATCCTTCCAGGATTTCATCATTTTCTAGGTGGATCTTTAGGACTTCATGCATTTTTCCAGAATACCTGGGCAGCTGGTGGTTTTAATAGGTCTTCTCTGACTGAAAACACTGGACATGAAGTATGACTGCCTCATGGCTTTCCAAACAGTTGCAGCCCTGCTGAAACTGTGCATGTGTAGATTGCATTGTCCAGCTACGTGCAGTAGGGATGTCTCTTTTCGAGAGCTCGAGGCGTTCTGTTGCAGATGACCCGCATTTGTTGAGGTCTGTGAGATTAGCTTGGCATTTTCCTAGAATGCTAAATGGATAAACTGCAGGGGAGGGTGTCCCAGACAGCATGTGAGGGAAATTTTGTATGTAGCTGTGACTATGAAAGCCCTTCACTTACTTTATACCTGTTCTGCAGAGATTTCAGAGAGTTATAGTGGAGATCTGTTTGTGTAAGAATAAGGACTAAAACTGTTACGATCTGATACATTTAATCTCCATCTGGATTCTTGTTATGTTCAATTGTTTTGATTAACGCTGACATCTACTAGTGGCCTCAAAGTGAGTCTGGATCTAAAATTATCTAGTACCATTAAATCATTGTGTCTTTTACCCTTCTATTTAGTTAATCAGTTGAAGTACTTTATAAAACATAGGGTTTGGGGGGAGAAAGCAGACAATGAGAAAAGATAGCTTTTTAAAAATGTGAAACAACTACCTTTAGTTGTAAGCGTTGCCAGACTTTGTATTTATTGGCTCTGTATAGTATACTAGCACATTGGCGTACTTTTTAATAACCTTTTACAGAACATATGTCTCAGATTTATCTATATGCAGAGCCTTGCAGACAGAACTTGTGAGTTGTAACATAAAGAATCTCCAGATGTACCCGTTATTTCTTATTAACATACACAGTGATTTTCTTGGAAAGTAGATGACATTTTAGAAAGGCAACATCTGTGTTATCACTTAAATTTTAATAATGCCAATAATTTTCTTTCAACAGAGGAATTCAAGGGCTCAACAATAGTTGAATTAATGAAAAAAGAAGGCACCACCCTAGGGCTTACAGTATCGGGTGGAATCGACAAGGATGGGAAACCAAGAGTATCTAACCTTCGTCAAGGAGGAATCGCTGCTAGGTAACCACATCTCAAGCCACAACATGCATTATAAGATGCGATTGCTTCAGAAATACTTACTGCATCAGAAAGGTCACTAGCAAATATGTGACTAGATGCATCTGTAATGGCAGTCCATCAGACCGGAGAAGCTCAGAGAGAAACGGCAACAGCTGGTCCCCCTCTTCCCTCAAGGCTGCTTTAATAAAAACCAGAAATACCAATGAGATATGTGAAAGTCATCATAAAACTAATTAAGTTTCTTCTAAATTATATAAATTTTATTTCTCCTTTTTTGTGTCCTTGAACAAAAACTTGGGACAAGAAGTATAAAATACTGAGGGGAAAAAGTAAAATTGAAAACATAACCATAGTACTACCATAATTTAATTAAAAAACCTCTTCATCAATTGGTTTTAAGATTAAAAAGAAGTCTAAAGTCATAGCTACCTTTCTTACTACTACAGTGGAAGCCAAAAACTGTTATTCATGAGTGAAACAGGTCAAAAGATAAAGATTAAGCTAAATCATTCCAACTAACTGAGCAGAACATATGGTTTTGGGCTGTGGCCTATCTCCTGTAGCTGTGATATTAGCTGTGAAGGCAAATATTGTCAAAAAAATATAGTTTTGGACACTTCCCAAAGAGAGAGAGAAAGATGGGTACATGAAGAAGACGTTTTCCCAGATCCTCTGCCCAAACCAGTCAAATCATCCAACTCCTTTATTGTAAAGCTGCTTTTGTACATCAGAAATTAATAATGCAACAATGTTATTTCAGTATTTAACAAGCTAGACTAGATTAAGATCTTAAAATGCCACTTTCTGTTTGAAAGATCAACTTGTTTTAATCTAGATTAATGGAAAAAATATTTCTTACCATTGCTATACAGTAATTTAAAGGATTTAGTTAGTTTAGGCCAGCAGATCTGTCTTTAAGAAAAGGAGTATGTACTTTTTCCTAGGAGTGATCAGCTGGATGTAGGTGACTACATCAAATCTGTGAATGGAATCAACCTGACCAAATTTCGCCATGATGAGATCATCAGCCTGCTCAAGAACGTTGGCGAGAGGGTTGTTTTAGAAGTGGAGTATGAGCTGCCTCCAGTCTGTAAGTAATAGAGCAAACTGAAACCTATGCAGAATAGCAGATGTGTTGTCAGGGGTGAGATGGGCATGGTTGGTGATCTTCATTTTAGTTAGTAGTTGTTTTCTTACATTTTTTTTTTCCTCTGGCTTATCGCAGAGCTTGGAAGCAGTATGCAAAAACGGGCAGTACAGGGGGATGCTCTCAGAGATGCTCAGGTGTTTTAGGAGCACAAGTCTAGCCAATGGCAGAGCACAGTTGTCAACCTCCAATGTTTGTTTGTTTGTTTGTTTGTTCCCAGTTTTGAACACTGGGAATTAGATTAAATAGATTCAAGAGTAAGAGAATCCATCTTGTTACAGTAAGATCTTCTGAGATGAGACCAATGAATATCTGCAAGTTCTGCCTCTGCCTTTTCTTTCCTTCTCTCACTTGCAGCACCCTCCTGTTCTCCCAGATAAACAACATAATTTGAGACTTTTCCAGGCTTTTCTGACATCAGTTTTAGGCGACATCTCATTTCTAGAGCAGCAGACCCAGTGGGGTAGGCTATGGGGATACATAAACCTGCAAGAATTGTGTGACTGAAACAAGGGCTTCTCACTGAGCAGGATTGTCTTCTAAATACAAGTTTATGCTGACGCCGAAGTCACAGAGTGCTCCTGAATGTTTTCCTCGCCTCTGCTTTGCTCTTTCTGTTTATGCTTATGTTTGTGACTGTGTGTCTGTAGGAGAAAATCAGTGGGAATTGACGCTAACAGGTATGAAGCGAAAGCTAGAGAAATGATGAGTTGGAAACCTGGGACCTAAAATGAAGGAGTGAGTGGCAGGTCTCTGCCTGGCACCAAGGGGGCTGCACCAGTCATGCCTGAGTGTGTGCTCCTTCATGCTGCTTACTGGAGGGGAGAAGATGTGGTTTGCTGGTGTTTGGCCAGAAAAATCTGCAGAGCCAGCTAGGAAGCTCTTGTCTCCTTAAATAAAGACTTTCCTTGCAGCAGAAACCAAAAATTCCATCACTCTGATGCTCAGAAAAGGATGAACTCCCCATTGCTTTCTGGCAGCTGGAGAGTTAGTCTAATTACATATTTGGTTGCTTGTATGACCTCCTGACAACCACCTTAGTATGTTTTGAATGTTCTCTGTTGATTAGTGTTCCTTTGTGGTAAGTGAACTTCATGTTCAAAAACACAGTATTTGAGTTCATGAAGTCAGCTGAGCTCAGAATTATTTTGCTGGAGATGTAGTTGGTTCATGAGTGTTGTTTTGCACTTACTCAAGTGGGCTTCCTTCCATTTCACCCACTTTTGGCATGTGTGCCACTCTTGTCCACTGAAACAGGATTTTAACATGCTAAAATACAGTAGCAGTCACACTTTTTTCTTTAAGTCCTTGGAATTTCTGACCCCTTCCTACAAGCATAGCTAATAAAGTTGGAGATAATTAGCAGTCTAGTTGTTCCCATTAATTTCTAGTGAACAAGCTAGACAGAGTGCCTTCATTACACCACGTTTTCTAGTAGGTCACGTGGTGAAGTCCTGACACCTCCTTCCCTGCTCCATACATAATGAAATTCTACTGTTGGTCTCATGGTTGCTCCCTCAGAGAGAGGACTATCACAGTTTCAGAGTGGGGAAATGTCAGTACTTTAATAATGATGGATTAAACCTGTCTGAGCAGTGGTAATCCCACTCTCCCTGGTGTTTCCTTCCCTGTCTGGCAGTGTTCACAGCAGGAGCATCCAGCTGCTATTTTCAGCACTAGCCACCTCAACGTTTCAAACTGGAATGTGAGCCATGCCTACCTCACATCTGCCTTTTGTTGTTGCTAAAGGTTACGGACTTCTTTCCCCTCCCAGGCTGTGGCTGGGGTAGAAGGACAGCCGCCTGAATGGCTATTGTCTAAGTGGAAGGACGCTGCATTGCCGATCCTCGCTTCTGAACTACAGGCTTTGCTTGTCCCCAGTGGAAGTTACAGGCCACACCAAGTAGATAAGGAAGCATAGATTCAGTTCAAGCTACATGCAGAGACACGTTCAGTTGATAGCAATGAAGGCAAGAGTTGTTCTCTCCTCCCCATAATTTGGTCCTTTTTGGGCAGTAAAATATTTCTAGCTGAAAAGGAATCAACTACATGGACTTCAGTAACATGGTCCTGATCTTCAAGCTGTAGCAGGAATTACTGCAATACACAGCAATGCTTTGGAGGGCCATCTTTCATCTGTTTTCCTAAGGAAATGAGATTTATGTGATTTCACTGGCTTGGTCTTCTGGTTCCCTGCAGTAATTTCTTTAACAGGGGATTGAAAGACTCCAAAAAAAAAAAAGTACATTACAGCACATTTCATGAAAATAGACACTTGAGCAGTAGAGAGAGTCCCAGACCCGGGGAGTCCTCAGAAAGAGAGGCAGGCAGTGCTGGGGAGACACAACTTCTGCTTGGGGTTGCTCGTGGCCAGCAGCACACATCTCCCCAGCTGTGTAGCCTGTGGTGTCCATTGCTCCCTCAGGGTATCCTAACGGGTACCGGGAAACTGATTATTGCAGGCAGGAGCATTAAAGGACATAGGTTTTCATGAGTTCTGCTGCTCACAGAACATTTATTTCATAGAGGATTTTTTTTTTTTCAATCTTTACATGTTGTGCTGTTTGCAGTATCTTACTGGAAGCTGGGAAGTGTGCGTGTGTGTGATTTTGCCCAGTGTCCCTTTGGAAAAGGGAGTTCTCACACTTAGCCAAAGTTTTTCCTGTAAGAGCTAATAGTAAACTGGCATTTGGTCTCTTAACAGCAGTGGTTTCAAATTCTGCAAAGTGGAATATCACACCCAATGTGTTTGTGCATTAGGCTTCTCGCCTCCTAACCCAGCTGTGCACCACTCCTCTGGTGCTTACAGAGAAAATACTGGCTCGACTAGAAGTCAAAGATTTTTTTTACTCACTTACCAATGATTAGAGAGCATGTACATTTTGAAAAAGGAAAAAAATAACAAATCCCTTATGATACAAAATACTTTTTTCATCTTAATCTAGCAAGCTGAGATTAGAGATACACCCTAAGAATCTTGACTGCCTTGACTTTAAGCAGTACAAATAAATGTTTTCATGGCTGAACAACCAGCTCCATAGGTTGCTTTAAGAATTTCATTTGTCATTTTTGTGTCTCACTGTGTGTTTCCATCTTTTCTAGCTGTTTTCTATAGCTTTAAGAAAAGCAAAATTATGCCATAATTTAAACAGTAAGGCTCAAATTCCTCATACCTTATATGCATCTATGGCTCTTCTTCCAAACCATTGGCAATCTGCAAAATATCTGGCCCACAATTCTTTCAAAAAGAGGATGAGTTGTATTTAATTACTGGTCTTTAATCTGACTGTTCTGTAGTGGAGTCTTTCCGATTGTATGACCAGAAACACATTAGCTAGTTTAACTTGGAAAAGGTGCAAATCTGTGTGTATAATTTGAAAAATAATTACATTTTGGAATTTTTTTCTTTTTTTTTTTTCTTTTAGCTGTACAAGGATCAGGTCTCATCTTTAGAACTGTGGAAGTTACTTTACATAAAGAGGGGAACACTTTTGGATTTGTAATAAGAGGTGAGTTATCATTAAATGTGAACTATATTTTCTAAATTGGCCAAAAAAAGCAGGAAGTTTTTATGACACTAAAAATCATTTAAGATTTGCAGCTTACAGTTTGTAAAAATCTATGTGATTTGTGTATTAATTTTTCCATACATTAATGTACTGCTTTTATAAACTGCTCTAATTTTTGTTTATGGAATAACAGTAATTAATCAACTATGCCAAGAACATGACAAACTTTGTTTCATGTAAGACCAGATTCTGCTACCACTGAAATCAGCAGGAGGCTTGTAGTTCTTAAAAAAGATTCGCATATAGTATTTGTAGAAATTAGGTATGAAATCTGATTAATTGTGCTGACTGTTGGAATTGTACAACAAAAGTATTATCACTGACTTAGAGAACAGAAGAAAACATGCAGCTGTTAAATAATATACTTTTTAATGAATTATTATTGTACTTATTATGAATTATTAACTTCTTCAGGGAAAACTGGGGGTTTTTTAATTTAATATATAAATTTCTTAGTGGCCACTCATTATTCTGAGTATACATGAAGTATGGATGTTTTTTCTCTATGCAGCAAACATTGCAGAACAATAAGTTTTCACACTGAGATCAGATTTGCAGAGTAGCCGTTCTAAGAAAAGAATATACATTTATTAATAATTACTCTGTAGAAATATTTTATAAATAATCATATATACCATACATTAGGTCAATTTTATTTAAGGTAAAGCTCAGTGGATGTTCATATTAGTGGCTTGGCCATTTTTTGGTCTTTTTAGCTCATCTGTAAGTGTGCATGCTGCAAGATTTAGACTTGCCTCTTGAAAATGAGGTTTCATAAAAAACATAAAATGAAGTTGTGCTTTCTCTCACTTTTCCCTTTCTAGGTGGAGCACACGATGACAGAAATAAATCTCGTCCTGTTGTAATAACATGTGTTAGACCTGGAGGGCCTGCTGACAGGTACAATTCATCTTTCTCTGTAGTGCATGCGAAAGAGAAATGGAGAAAGGTGAATTATTTGGGACAGAAGTTAGGATTTGTGAAGTAGACATATTCAAATCTGTTCCTTTGAAATTCAGGGTTTATGCATTTAATTGCAATAATAATAATAACAGTAATAGGCAACCACAGAGGCTCAGCACATCATGGTGTATGTGAACTTTAATTTAGTATGTTGCATTTTTCAAGACTTTCCCATTAAACACTTTCAAAAATCAACCTAAAATAATTAGAACAAATGCCTGCAATAGGTCAAAGAACATTTTTTGCAGCCTTCAGACAACTGGTGTAGCTCTTAATTATGCTTTTTATACTCTAACACCACAATCTTCTTCTCTTGCACTTCAGAAAAATACTGTCTTCTGTTTGGATGTTGTTGTGTTATTTTAAGATGTTTGTACATATCTGCATGTGAATTCACAGATAACTTCACCTGGACAACTGAGTACAGATTTATGGTTTTGCCCAATGAACATATTTGTATGTAATACCATCTTGTATCTATATAAAGAAAGAATATTGACTTTATTGATATGTATGAATTATATTTTCAAAAATGGCATTTGTGTCCTTAAACCATTAAAGAAACTTAAAGGCCAATTTCTTTAAAGCAGATGATTTTTGTGTAGCTCATGTTGACATTTTTGACCTTGGAAACATTAACTGAGAAGCAGACATTTCAAGACAGCTTTCATCTTTTGTCCCTCCCTTTCTTCCCACCCTCATCCCCCTTGCTTCCTTGTTTGTCTCCCCGATTCTTCAGCTGAGAACATTAGTACTTTATTTTTTATTATGATTCTGAATATGTTATGAGATATGCCTGGGAGACAGTGTACACTTATAGCCAAATTATTTTTAGGTAGGAAGAAAAGAAAAATGGAATTATCCAAGTAAGGGATATTTTTGAAGAAAATCAGTAAAAGGACATTCATATTTTGCAGTCTGTTTCTTCACCCATGTGGTTTGCACCTCGTATTTATTTTTAAGAAAATACCGGGGGAGGAGGTGTTTGTGTATGAAAAAGGAGTTGTGTGGACAAGGCAGAAAGAAAGCATATGTTGAAGCAAAAGCTATACTTAGTTGCAATTTAACACAACTTGATTATTTAGGTATGTGTTAAGCCGTTTTCCAGTCACTGACTTTCCAATTAAAGCAATTTCCTTTCCTCTGCGCCCTCTGAATGTTCTCACCGTCAAAGTAAATGTTAAGTGTTAAGGCAAGAGGGATGGATGTCAGAGAGGGTGTGAGAGAATCGCTTTGCATAAAAAAAGGTATTATCTCCAAATCAATTTCTCTTATATTAATAAATATCATTCCTTTAATCTCCCTTCAGAGAGGGCACAATCAAACCCGGGGACAGGCTGCTGAGTGTTGATGGGATCCGACTGCTGGGAACGACACATGCTGAAGCCATGAGTATTCTGAAACAATGCGGGCAGGAGGCAACACTGCTGGTTGAATACGATGTCTCAGTGATGGGTAGGTAGAAGAGTAGGGCTTTAGTTCCGGGAACCATCTGTGATGTTTTCCTGCCTGTTCTTGATGAGCTGTTTCAGAAGTGATCGTGACCTGTTACGCTCCTAGTAGCACTGCTATTCCTTTCCGCACCGTATCATTAATCTTGGGTTCATAAGGAGGTGAGCAGTATTTTACTGTAATTTAGCATTCTGACATTTCATGGTTTGTAGAGTGAAGCCATAGTGTGGATTCTAGCAAAGTAACTTTTCCAGTGACTAGTTTATAATAAAGGTTAATGAAGTGTAAGCATTTCTATGTCACATGAAAGAGGGGTTTACTTGCTCTTACAGGAATTATTTTGCCTTTTGCCAGTGCTGCTAGGTGGCCGAGATATTATTAAAAAGTCACAAAACTGCCACATGGAAAAGAACGGGGAAAACAAAATTTGTTAAGAAATGCAGAGGTGGCAAATCATGGCTTGAAAAACGAGCTTAGGCTTTATACAAACTTTGATTGAACTCACTGAAGATATGGGAGGTTTTTGGAAAGTTAAGGAGAGCAGATGATTTTTCATAACAGATTTGGGATTCGGTTATTTCCATTTGTTTTGGGAGGTGTCATCTCCCCTCCATTTTTGCAAAATACACAAAATTCATGGCAGCAAGAAATAGAAATACTCACCAGTCAGACTGAAATATTTCTTCTCTGTTTGGGGATCTTTCTCTTCTTTCCCTCCTTAGTTCCACAGTCAGATTTCTAGCCTAGCAGTAAAGCAGGCTCATAGGAATTTGTGAAATAGCACTGTCAAACTTCAAAGCCTTGGGAAAGATTAATACTTAGAAGAATAATGTCAGATATTTGTTTAATCTGGAACAGCCCTCTTTTAGTTCTTCTCCAAGACACAGATTTATTTTTTTTTAGTCTAATATGTATCTTTGTTTACTTAACTATCAAGAATGGAGTGACAGGTTTGCATGGTGTCTGGCAGGCTTGCTGGACATTCATGCAAGGTTCATGTCCAGAAAGGTGAAGACAGCTCAGCGTCTGGGCAGGAACCTCCCATGTAGAAAATGGAAATGCGAGTGATCTTGTAACCTGAAGAGGACTAGAATTTAGATGTTTTCATTTATTTCTTCTTTTTCTTTGGAAGATGATGGATGTCCAAACCCTATCTATTATCACAGTTAAAACCAGATTCTTTATGCTCCACTTGCCCTAAAAGAGAGATCTCATTGAAAAAAGAACCCTTGGCTTTAGACAAAGTTCCCAGTAAGGCTTTCATTTCAGAGAAGAACCCCATCCCTGTTCTCCTGTATACCCCAGGGAGGGAATTGGCTGCAATTTCACTAAGGATCTTTTAGAAATCTTTGCAAGTTTGTGTGAGGACAAGACCACATGATGAGAAGCTCTGTTGTGCTCTAAATTGCAGGTTGCTCAAGGCAGGAGCCTTCTTTTCAGTGTTATCTGGATAGAGCTCAGTGCAGGAGAATACAGATCTTAGTTGGAAATTGCAGGCTTATAACTGTACAGGCAGTACCTACCAGGCAGTCTCTTCATGTCATTCTCTCTCTGAATAAACTCTGCTATCTCCCTTTTGTTCTCAGTAACAAATCTGGATTTATTGTTCCTGCCTTCCTGGCAATGAATGTGTTATCCTGGGGAAACTTAAGGAGGTAGAAAAACGTCAGACTTATGTAGTCAGAAAGAAGGAAGGAAGAGAGAAACGAACTCTGGGAAATGTGTGGGGTGGTGGTCCTGCAGTGTCTGTGAGAAGAAATAAGGAGGGATTCAGTAGGCTCTCTTTCTAATACATTATGATTTTGTTAGATTTTATCTAGCCCTCAGTAAGTCTTGATTGTTTTTCCAATTTACATGCCCTGCATAGTTTTCTGGCAGTGGTGTGAAAAATTTTATTGGGAAGCTTTCTTTGCTTTTTGCAGTTATGTTGTGACCATGGCACAAAGGCTGAAAATCACTCATCCAAATCCATTAATTTCTGGCCCAGGAAAACGGTGCTGATTTGAACCTTCCCTTACTCCTCTGCTCAGGAGCAGTGAAGTCAACATTGGGAGTAATGTGAAAGGCAGGATATGAGCCATGAACAGAAATTTAAGAATTACAGAAATGTTACTCAGTTCCCCAACTCTTATGTTATCCAGGAGACAAGCTATTTATAATGCTGCTTCAGGCTTGATGTGAATATGAAAATATGCTGAAACAAGAGGAAGAGCATTGGGTAAGGGGGTTATCAATTACTGATGCTTGACTCTAGTAGTCAGCCTGCTCAGAGGGGGCAACAATCCAAAAGTTATATAAAGTCTGGTGCAATCTATAAGGTCCTCCTAATATAAACTTTCAGTAGAATATCTTACTTCCAGAGACATAATTGTACCATTACTTGCTTTAATGTCTTCTCTTCTGTTAGCAGATGGTTATATCCTATAAAGTAGCATTCCATGTGGCCAGAACTGGAAAGAGCCATAAAATATATTCTGATAGCATGAAATTGGAACTTAATTTGAAAAGGTTACACTAGATGAAAAAAATAATCCTGAACTATTTTTCGGTTACAGTCCTGTAGTGTGTAACTGACTTTTTGTACTTCTGTAAGCCTAAGCTGTTTCAAAGGTGATATATTTCTCGAAGTTTAGCTCGCCTGAAGTTTTCAAGAGGTCACCTGGGAAGGCTGTATAGTTTATTGGTTCTGGAACCTAGACAAACTGGAGTAAAAAAAGCATCAAGGGGTTCTGCGCAGGGTAATTAAGTGTGTATAAATGTAGATGTGGCTAGTCCCATTGAACTCTCTGGGGTTACACTTGTGCTTGCTTAAATACATCCTGAAGTATCCTGCTCAGCTGGGTCCTAGGAAATAAACTTGTCAGTTCAGCTTCTTGGAAGAGATGTTATTAGCTTGTTGAGTCTTATTTATTTTTTTCATGCTGAAAATGTTTCTGGGTTGATGTGTGGAGTGTACTGCTGTATAGTTTCAAAGAGACTTTGAAATAGTAGGAGTTTGGAAATACCAAGATAATCCCTGAAGAGAATAGGAGAACATAATTTCTGAGAAAATATTTGATAACCTGATAAAAGTTACAGTTGAAGTTGTGGAGGTAGCAGTCTTCCAAAAGTCTTTCTGTTTTCCAAAACACCTCCTCCAGTCATGAAGCAATGTGGTTGCTTATACTCCTTATTGATTTTAGAGGAGACTACCTGCATTTTTTAATTTTGTGAGGCTTTAATAATGCTGCATTTTCGTGTTTGCAGAGGAGATGGATATGGTGACTTGCCCTACACACAGCTGTGTGCAAGTAACATAAACTTTGTGGGTTTTTTCACTTTTCTTTGTAATCCTTACACCTGAAGTGACCAACCTTTATGGTCATGTGGGTCACCTATTTTCATCTAGTGATGGGAAAGGTCTGAATATTGCAGCTCTCTCTGTGCCATATGACTACACTTGCGTCCCTCATGGAGGGGAAGGAGTAGAGGCAGAGTGGTGGTCGGCAGTGACTTTTGCAGCCTGAATCTTTTTCTGTGGCAGCCAAACAACAAACATTAATTCCAAGCTATAAACTTAGGTTGGGAAGACTGAAGTTCTCACTGTTTGGCAGAGGTTGTGGTCTGGATGAAGTGTCCTAATGAGCTGCTCACAGCTTGAGAACTATAGGTCAGGCATCCTCAGAGAGTGAATTAGAATTAGAATGCAATGCTAATAACAAGCTGCAAACAGAGATTCACACTGTCCCTGTCTAAAACGAGAAATAAAAGTTTATAGTTCATCACTACATTTATTTGGAAGCAGAGCAGATGCAGTTTCTCTTCAGGTTTTCCAAAATCTGCCATGATGCTACTGGGGTGTCCGTTGTGTCTGTAATTGGGGTAGCATCTGCTTGGGTAATCCTCCATATTTAGTCTGAAAGGTAATGGCTACCTTGAGTTTAAATTCTGGCCCATAACATTTTTATGTAGCTCTGCTTCATAAATTGTTGCTGCTCAGCTTTTGAGCAATCTACTCTTTAAATCTTGGATGTTCTTGATGAGGTAATCTTTGAATGAAGGATGCTATAGTTAAACAAAACTATTAGCTATTGCCAAGACTTTGGCACAAAAGTAAGCTTTTGTTAGCCATTTGCACCTGAGACACACAAAATCTTTCTCTCTCATCTCTTCAGCGGGTGTTTCTTAGAATCATAAAATCCTTTAGGTTGGAAAAGACCTTTAAGATCATCAAGTCCAACCGTAAACCTAGCACTGCCAAGTCCACCATTAAACCATGTCCCTAAGCACCACATCTATGTATCTTTTAAATACCTCCAGGGATGGTGACCCAACCGCTTCCCTGGGCAGCCCGTTCCAGTGCTTGACAACCCTTTCAGTGAAGAAATTTCTCCTGATATCCAATCTAAACCTCCTCTGGCACAACTTGAGGCTGTTTCCTCTTGCCCTGTCGCTTGTACTTGGGAGAAGAGACCAACACTCATCTGACTACAACCTCCTTTCAGGTGGTTGTAGAGAGCAAGAAGGTCTCACGTCAGCCTCCTTTTCTCCAGGCTAAACAACTCCAGTTACCTCAGCCACTCCTCATCAGACTTGTGCTCTAGACCCTTCACCAGCTTCATTGCTCTTCTTTGGATGTGCTCCAGCACCTCAATGTCTTTCTTGTAGTGAGGGGCCCAAAACTGAACACAGTACTGTACTCACAGTACTCACCAGTGCTGAGTACGGGGGGACAATTACTTCCCTAGTCCTGCTGGCCACACTGTTTCTGGTACAAGCCAGATGCCATTGGCCTTCTTGGCCACCTGGGCACAGTGCTGGCTCATGTTCAGCCGGCTGTCGACCAACACCCCCAGGTCCTTTTCCGCTGGGCAGCTTTCCAGCCACTCTTCCGCAAGCCTGTAGCATTGCATGGGGTTGTTGTGACCCAAGTACAGGACCCAGCACTGAGCCTTGTTGAACCACATACAGTTGGCCTCAGCCCATTGATCCAGCCCATCCAGATCCCTCTATAAACCCTTCCT